ACTTGGCGAACGCGAAGAACAACTGATGCTGCCATCAAAATACACAACGCGTTCGCGATACTTTCGACGTAAACACGATGAAGAAATGTGATCTAGACACCAGAACACACCAGCATTGAGAACGGAAAGAAAAATAGCCCGAAATCAATATGAAACACGCCCGAGCCCCTCGGGACCCCATCTAAACATACCAACAAGTCTCATAACATAACAAGGACCTACTCGAGGCCTTAAAACACACATAACAACATCGAAACGACGAATCACACCTCAATTCGAAATCAATGAACTTTGAAACTTCAAACTTCTACAACCGATACCGAAACCTATCAAATCATGTCCAATTGACCTCAAATTTTGCACACAAGTGACATTTGACATTACGGACTTGCTCCAACTTCCAGAATCGGAACCCGACCTCGATAAAGTCCCCTCCCAGTCAAACTTTCTAAAATTCCAACTTCCGTCATTTCAAGCCTAATTCTACAACGGACCTCCAAATCACAATCCGGACGCACTCCTAAGTCCAAAATCACCCAAAAGAGCTAACTGAACCATCAAAACTCCAATCTGAGGTCAAATACTACAAAGTCAAACTTGGTCAACTCTTCCAATTTAAAGCTTCCTAATTGAGAATCATTCTTCCAAATCAATTCCGAATAACCTGAAAAACAAAACTTACGATTCACATAAGTCATAATACATCATATGGAGCTACTCATGCCCGTAAACTGCTGAGCGAAGTGCAAATGCTCAAAACGACCGGTCGGATCGTTACAGGCTATGTGAAAGTAGTGTTGTTATTGGTGAATAATTTGTTTTTCTCTATTACGAAAATTACAATCTTAAATATGTTGAACTTTAATTTTGAATGTATTACTGATTTACTAGATGCAATTGGTTGCATAAAGCATCTGTGGTGTTTAAACTTCATTGGCAATCATATTAATATTTATCACGATCAGTAGCTAAACTTTCTTGTTACAAACATTAGTGCTAAAAATTGCTCAACCTTTCTTGATTTATTGAGAACTTCAAAATTTTGACCAATATTTAACAACTTGAATTTGATGTAAAATGCCAACTTAGTCTAATGTCGAATTCGAAATTTTTGTCAATCTTTAAGTGCTTTATGATTTTATTGTTAAAGAATGTGAAAAAATCGAGTTGGAATGGACAAATTTTGGTGATAATCGTATTCTAACTTCATTAAGTGATAAGCAGCAAGAAGGTTGAAAGTATGATCAAGGGCGGCTCAATAATTTTTGTGGCCTAAAACCAAACTTCAATGGAGGCCTTAAGTGTCTTGTTGCAAGAAAAAGATATCACATATAGTTTTATTAAAAGTTTATTTTTCTAGCTTTTTGAATAGAAATTATTAATAATATATTTATAATCAATTTCTATTCATTTACTTATATCCATTGACTAGGATCATATGTTTCTAGAAATACAAGTATTCAATTCATTTAGAATTTTCGGATGTTCTCGACGATCTATATTAGATTTCTCACCAAATTCTTCTCCTTCTTCAATTTTATTGTCGTCTAGCTTAATTATATTAGTGATTTATTCATCCACCATAAATTCTTCCATAGTTCTGATTTATAATTTTTTAGTGTTTGCTAAAAATTTATCAAGCGCTCCTTTTTGAGATTATATTAAAGTTTCAACCCTTCTCCTTTTTGGCGTTTTAAACACCTTAACTTATTTTTCTAGTTGATATATTAAAAATTTAATAAAATAATTAAAAAGACAATCTATGCTTACAGCGAAAAAATATCAAAAAATTACAAATTTTAGATGCAAAATAATAAAAATATAGAACAATCAAATGTAATTTACCAAATAGATAACTTGAATACTTGATACACTATCGATGCTTCAATACTCTTGATGTCATTTTTCTCCAATAGTCCCTTCTTTCCTTTTTTTTCCATGAAAATTGCACCCAATATTTATATTCTTATAAAAAATTAATACCTATAGGAAATTTCGAGGCCCCCATAAAATGGGGCGCAAAGCAGTGGTTTTAGCTGCTTTACCATTGGGCCGCCCCTGAGTATGATTAAATTTATTTTTAATTTTTTTCTATAAAAAATCAATAGTGGTATCAGAGCAAGAAAAATTATTGAAAGAGCTTTTTTATGCATAAAATCATCAAGGAAATTGTATGGGTCAAAATCCAACCGAGGAAATTCAGCACGAGGAGGTGATTATCGTGAGATTTGTAACTGTCTTGGGCAGTTTGGCCGAGGTCGATCAGTGGTCAACAGAACAGGCCGCTGAGTGGCTCATCGGGCCGAGGTCGAGCAGCATGGACAGAAGTAACGCCTAGTATAGCTTTGAAACTTTCAAAGGGAATATTCTATTGAATATTCCTTCCATTGTACCTTTTAGGGTTCTTTGGGAACATCCCATATAAATAGTAGGAGAGATAAGGCAAAAGGCAGGTAATATTCCATTTTGATAAGAACAGTTTGAAAAGTAATCTCTCTAGATAAATACAAATAACAACTTTCTGAGAGATATTCGATCTATATATTCTATTCATTGTCATTTCCACCAGATCCGAGAAAGTGTCCAATATTCTCTCGTATTCTTGTCATTCATCATTATTAGAGGAAGGAATCACCCACCTCATTCAATATTGGGTGAATCTTCCTCTTTATTTATATTTAGTGTCATTTATTGTTATTTATTACTTGTCACTATTCTCGTCCCATCAACAACCGCAACATTTATTGTACATTGCATCGAATCCATTTCGACACGGTCCCACGTTATCCGCATAAACTGATTTTAGATCTAGGGTCATTATCTTTAACTAGGATTAATCCCTTATTCTTTTATTTAATTAGATTAACCAAAGATTCATATTTTTTGGTCAAACAGAAACAAAGGCAAGTACAAATTTACTAGAAAACCGAAAGATAAAATTGTATATTATTTTCTCTCCCAAGTATTCTCCTTTTTTCTGTTGCTACTTTTCTTGTTTTAAATTCAACATGTGGTATCAGAGCCAGGTTGGCCTTGTAGGATTTATGAGGACAAGAAAACAAGAAACATTAAACTTTTAAACTTAAAATGTCAACTAACAATAATTTTTGTCAACTCCACATACATTCATCGATGAGAATTATCAAATTTGATCAGCCAATATGCAAACTAATTTAAAGTCCTTTGATCTCTCCTTGCACTCTCAAGAGTTGCTACCCTGGCACAAATCAAGACCCACACCAAAGAAATAACCAAAAGGTCCAAAGCAAAGTCTGTTGTTCATAATTCTATGGGAAACTCAGTATTTACCATAATCATGTCATACAAAACCATCAAAATAAGCTTGGGACAATCATAAAGTGGAATATCATGACAGTAATCGAATAAGGCAAATGAAAGTTTCGAATCTAAAAAGAGACTTTGAAGATTTAAGCATGAAGGAAGATGATTCTATCAACAAACATTTAGATAGAATTTCCTTGACCGTCAGCCAAATCTGATGAGGATTACCTGGATAGCAGAATTGTGGAAAAGCTTTTAGTGACGCTTCTTGAGAAATTTGAATCCAAGATTTCCTCTTTAGAAGAGTCCCTGGATCTTAGCAAAGGAGGACTTTGATGCAAAACAAAAAAAAATTACTAAAGCAGTCTTTTATGTACAAAACCAAGAAAACAAAGGCAAGCACAAGTTTACTAGGAAATTAATAGACAAAATTGCAGATTATCTCCTACTTTTTTTGTTATAAATTTCAACAAGACTCCTGAAAAGTTAAAGGAGTTCATCACAACTTGTAACTGTGGTAATAACATGGCACTTTGATAGACCGAGTTGCAAGCTTAAGGTTATTCTTGGGAAGTTATCTCCCACCTCTTGGATAACTTCCGTTCCTAGATATTTTGTTATCGAATTTCATTGGAAACAGTCTACCTTGATTTCTTTGGACTTGGCGATTCCGTAGGATTTCAGTCATTTAAGTCACTTTAAGTTTGTTAGTATTACTCAACTGATGGGAATGTTTGAGAGATCGTGACCTCAACTTTGACAATTTGCCCGAAGCTAATGAGTTTACCAAAGTTGAAGTTACCTCACGTGCTATTTTAATTTGCTCATGGTTAGTAGCAAAACTAGGAATTTCCCCAAGGGTCTTCAAATTTAAAATAAGTGAAAAAACTTTCCGACAAAGGGTATTCAATATGTGTTATATACTTCTAAAACGTAATATTTTATCTATATACACACTACAATTTTTCGACGAAGGGTGTTCAATATGTGTTATATACTTCTAAAACGTAATATTTTATCTATATAAACAGTACAATTTTTCGACGAAGGGTAGTCAGTTGACCACCCTTATCGCCATGTGGCTTCGCCAATGGTTTGCTGTGTGTGTAAAATTGAAGGCCTGAAAACAGCTCAAATATTTCAAAGATATTAGAACTCGCCAACCATGACAGAAATGAGTTGAGGGCAAGAAGGCACCCGTGCACATCTGATGAATAATAGTCCTTGGTTATTCAACTTACCTACCTTATCTTAACACGTTCTAATCGATTAGATAATACAGCTCACAGTCTGCTCTTCTTTGGTTCATTTATCCAACTACTTGTGTAAATCACCATTAGTTGGACCAAGTAAATTTGTCCTTTCTCAAAATTATAAGAAGCATTACACCTAACCAAAAGATATGCTTCAAACCCCTTGCCAACCAAATCCAAAAGAAAAACTTCCATACGTGTACAATTACATAAAATAAACTTCAGTCGTGCAATATGAATTTTATATTTGATCTACTAGCCCTTATTAAAAGTCTAGACACCTTAAAATATTCCCACTACTATTTAACCATTAATATCTTAGTTATCTAAATACTGTGTGTTCTAGTAGTTGACATATTGAAGCTATTATGGAGGAGACAACTTTACCAGGCCACCTGTTTTACAAGACAAAAACTAACTAAACAACTGAACAAATTAAGTAGGCTTCTTGAAGTTGATGAATCTTCAATTAAATAGTATGAATAAATTAATTGTGTTATAGTATTGGCACCATATATGGAGACAGAAAAAGGCAAATTATTCAAACACCCACATGATAATGAGATGCCTCATAGTTATCCCATAACTAAGAGGACTAATGAAAGTAATCAGCAGAACCTTTAGTTGGCCAAATGTGTAGCAGTTTTACAAGTTCCAAAAAGATCCAGCTGTGCAATCACATGCTGATTTAATTAGGCCATTGCTTATCTGGTCTCCTCCTATGGTGTACTGCCTATAAATACCAACTCTCAAGCTTCAATTCCATCACAACTTTGAGAAATTCCCTCATCAGAAAGAAAACCGTAAGAAATGGCTGCTCTATCTTTAAAACCCAATCATGTTCGATCAATCAGTTTGCCCGGGAGATTACACCCTATCACCCAAAGAGTTGAAGAGGAGATAAACAAGCTCAAATCATTATCAGTTGCACCAACAGCAGACACTGTGTACAATGGTCTACTCGGGCTGGAGAAATTATACAAGCGCATAGATGATCTTTTCAACTTGCCACAAACCCTCTGCCAAAGTCTAGATGCTGAATGGATTGAAGATTTATTGGACAAATCCGTGAGGCTTCTTGATGTTTGTGGCACTACAAGGGAACTTGTCTCACAATATAAAGAAAATGTAAGAGATCTTCAATCATCCCTCAGAAGGAGAAAAGGAGATCCAACTACAGATGACAGCGTTGCCAGATTTACCTCTTTCAGCAAGAAGATCAAGAGGGATGCCAAAAGATTAGCCTTGAACTTGAAACAAATGGATCAAGAGACTGCAGTATCAGTCTTGCTAGATGCAGATGAAGATACAATAGATGCAATTAGAGCACTAAGAGAAGCTAATGCAGTATGCATTTCAACTTTCCAAATGCTCTTGTCCTTCCTGTCTGTACCACTTTTGAAGCCTAAGCAATCAAAATGGTCATTGCTTTCAAGATTGGTACAAAAAGACAGAATAGCACCTGAAGTTCAAGAAGAAAACGCGAACTTAGAAACCAGGCTGGAAACCTTCGCGGCGTACCTTGACAGCTTTGAAAGTGCACTGGAAGCTACATTTAGGTGCTTGATTAGATCTAGAAGCTCGCTCCTCAATGTTCTTTCCTGCTAATCTGGCAGTTGCTATTCCATACTCTGTAAATTGTATATAAACGGTATTGTAGTTAGAAATATATAAACTTCAAGTGAAAGATTATACACCACTTATTGCCTCTATCTTTCTCTCTCTGATCAAAATTTGAAAGGTTATACCTGTGAGTTTCAGCGCAAAGAAAGCACTTAGCAGTATTTCTCCATACCTGATATCAGGTTAAGTTTGTGTCTCAAAAATCTCAATATCCATTGAAATGGTCCTCTTTAGACTAGAGGGGGAAACAGATAAAACGCATAGCACATTCATACATACTTTTTCTCATAATTGGCTTCAAAGATCAAACTAAGAAAGGGCCATAATCTGGATGAAAATCTTCTTCCTTATGCTCCTTATCCACCATACTTTTAGCATCAGTGATGAATTAGAAATATAGCTTATGTTCTGCTTATCTTACTTCATAGTCCAACTAGAGGTAGAGACCACTATAACTATGACAATCTTGATTTCATCCGTCTTCCTTTTGAGATAACTGGAAGAAGTAGATCTAATCAGGAGGCTTATCCTATGTCCTTTTTCTTCTAGATCCTTAGCCAAATTTAACAAAGAAAACAAAATGAAGATCCACCACAAGGATCTGGCACCAGATCAGCGGACGAAGCAGCCAACATAGCATTCTTTCAAACATATTAATGGAGCAATTAACATTGCCACTTTGCTCGACTCAATATCAGTTTAATATGAATGACTAAAGTGGCATTCCTCAGCAAGCTTAATTGCATTGCTCCGAAAAAATCCTCTAGCAGTCCCTGAAAACAAAGATATGTATGCTCCCCAAAAATAGATTTGAAGTGTGGGCAGAACTCTTTTGAGGCTCAGCTGACAACTTCGAATATAGTTTGGAAGGAACATAGGTTCCTGATTACACTGCCGAGTTCTCTCCTAAATATCTTCTCATGCTAATCGGGAAACATCTATTGCACGGGTATGAAGTTGGCTAGACATTTTTCACATATGTAATGTCATAGGCACAGAGCCCCGTGGCTAGCTTCTAAATGCGTAGTGCCATGGACAGGCCCACTAGACTTTCCTTAGCCGACTGACAAGTGTGCCTGTGTCTATGTCAGAGATCTTCAATCCTCTATCAGAAGGAGAAAAGGAGATCACTTAAGTGCAGAAGCCAGCTTTACCAGATCACCTCCTTCAGCAAGAAGATTGGGGAGCCAAAAGTTATTCCTGGTCTTAACTCTTAAAAATGGATGAAGACATTGAGGAATCAGAATTCCAAGATTCAGATATGTATGCTACATGTGTGATTAGAGTACTAGGGGAAGCCCACTTAGTATGCATTTAAATTTTGCAAATGCTCTTGCTACTTCTTATCTGTCCCAGTTTTAAAGTCAAACTCGTCTAAATGGCACTGGTTTTGAGATTGGTGCATAAGGGAAGAATAACATGTGAATGTCGAGCAGATAACATTAACTTTAACACTAGGATGGAATCCTTCGATGGTCATCTTGAGAGTTTTAACGATGGATTAGAAGGAGCATATAGGTGCCTACTTAGATTGAGGAGCTCTCTCCTGAATATATTCTCCCCATTTGGTTCAATCTGCATTCTTACGAGTTCCTCCCCCTGCATACTTAAAAAATAAGATATCTCGGAAAGAATGTGAAACTCATGGATTCTGCCTTATAAAAGTTTGTTAGTAAAGAATGTAAAACCTCCTTCTCTTTGCCCCAGAAGGTGAGTTGTGTAGGAAAACAACTATGCAGTCAATAATTTAGTAAACATTAAACAAGCACAGCATAACCAGCCATACATGGATGCACAAAATCAAAATATTTTTATTTCCAATACACTCGTGTATCAATTATTGATATAATTAAAAATTGCTCTTTGAGTGAAGCATCCTGAAGAAGCCACCTACCGCTGGACTAATTAAAAGGATGAAAATCATAGACATATCTTGGGCATCTTTAACCAAGTCAAGGAGAAGGAGTTCTTAGCTGTAATCTTCCGGATGGAGCCAAGGAAAATAGCAGGATATGAATGTACCGACATATATTAATTAGTTTTGCCCACCATTTATTGGAAGCATTACATCTAGTCTAGGAGCTTATACAGATATGCTTCCAACCCCTTGCCAACCAAATCCAAAAGAAAAAATCCCATACGTGTACAACTCCATAAGATAAACTTCAGTAGTGCATTTTGAATTTTATAGTTGATCTACTAGCCCCTCTGAGATCTTGACACCTTAAAATATTCCCATTATTCTGTCATTATTTACATTTCAATTATCTAAATATTATGTATTCTAGTAGTTGATGGATATAAGCCTTTATGGAGGAGACAGCCTTACCTGGCCACCTATTACATGACAGAGACTAACTAAACAACTGAACAAATAAAGTAGGCTTCTTGAAGTTGATGCATCTTCAATCAAATAATATCAATAGAAAAGTTTTTTGTCATAGTATTGGCACCATTTCTGGAGACAGAAAGAGGCAAATCATGCAAACACTTGCATGATAATTATATGCCTCGTGTTCATCTTATAACTGAGGATTAATGAAAGTAATCAGTACAACCTTTTGTTGGCCAAATGTGTATCAGGTTTACAAGTTCCAAAAAAGATCCAGCTGTGCAATCACATGCTGATTTAATTAGGCCATTCTCATCTTGTCTCCTCCCATGGTTGTTTTCCTATAAATACCAACTCTCAAAATTAAATTCCATCAAAACTTTGTGAAATCCCCTAATCTGAAAGAAAACCATAAGAAATGGCTTCACTTTCTTCAAAATCCAATCACGTTCGATCAATCAGTTTGCCTGGGAGATCACACCCGACCATCCAGAGAGTTGAAGAGGAGCTAAACAAGCTCAAATCATTGGAAGTATCTGTTGCACCAACAACAGTGAGCAATGGTCTAAAAGGTTTGGAGAAATTGTACAAGTGCATAGATAATCTTCTCAACTTGCCTCAAACCCTTCATGCCCTCTCCCAAAGTCTACATGCAAAATGGGTTGAAGATCTATTGGATAAATCAATGAGGCTTCTTGATCTGTGTGGCACTGCAAGGGAACTTGTATCACAATGCAAAGAAAATGTAAGAGATCTCCAATCCTCCCTCAGGAGGAGAAAAGGAGATTCAACCACAGATGACAACATTACCAAATTTACCTCTTTCAGCAAGAAGATCAAGAGGGATGCCAAAAGATTAGTATTGACCTTGAAACAAATGGATCAAGACACTACAGTATCTCGTTTGCTAGATGCAGATCAAGATACAATAGCTGTGATTAGAGCACTAAAAGAAGCTAATGCAGAATGCATTTCAACTTTCCAAATGCTCTTGTCCTTCTTGTGTGTACCACTTTTGAAGCCTAAGCCATCTAAATGGTCACTGCTTTCAAGATTGGTAAACAAAGAAAGAATAGCATCACTAGTCTTAGAAGAAAATGTGAGCTTAGAAACCAGGCTCGAAAGCTTTGAGACTTATCTTGTCAGCTTCGAAGATGGATTGGAAGCAACATTTAGATGCCTGATTAGATCTAGAAGCTCGCTACTCAATGTTTTCTCCTGCTAATCTGGCAGTTGTTATTCCATATACTGTAAATTGTATATACACAGTTTTGTAGTTATGTTAGAAATATACAATCTTCAAGCGACTGATTATACATCAATGTCATGTCTCTTTCTCTATATATATATTATTTATATATGGACTGTGTATGAATACTGCCATAAAGCGTGCAGTAGGACTATAATTCAAATACCTGAATGGAGTCCAAATTTAACAGGTTACGCCTATGACTTTCAGCATCTAGAAAGAGTTTTGCAGCATTGTCTAAATCTGATGTCAGGTTAAGTTTTACTCGGAAAATAGCTCAAAATATCATTGAAATGATTCTCCTTAAACTAGAGGAGAAGCAGATAAAACTAATAGCAGATCCTTTACATACTTCCATTGCATAATTAGTGAAATGATCAAACCAATGAGCGAATGAGAAAATTCTCTGACTCCTAAATCAATATTAAAGGGTAAGAAGCCACTTATCTACATTCGAAAAAAGTATTTCTTCCTTATTCTTCTTATCCATCATTCTTACACAAGGATACTTTATTAGATAATATTGTGAATGATCTCTGTTTCTATTTGGTTCATTGTCAACTAGCTATGGAGACCACCACAGCTTTTCTGAATTTGTTCTTAAAATTATTGGAAGTATTAGACCTAAATCCTAATCAAGAAGGTTTCATATATCCTTTATCTTCTTCCTGCCTTCCCAAGGGAATTCAACAAACAAAAAATGGGGATTGAAATGCAGGTTGTTGGAGCCACCATCACAAGGATTTTGCATCAGATAGGCAGCCAAAGTGGCAGAGTGCTCTCTCGAACATATTAGCACTACAGTCGTTAATGCCACTTTACTCAACACAATATCCGTTTGATATGAATGACTTACGAGTTTGGTGGCATTATTCAGCAAGTTTAATCGCTTTTCTCCCAATAAATATACTAGCTGGTCTGAAAAGCAATACCGTGAGTCCGTGACATGCTTCCAAAATAGAGCTGATGCAAAACTTGACAAAGCTAAAATGTGGGAAGTACAATTAGCCCTACCAGATACATGATACAAGAACAATGCTGCAGCTACAATCATGAAAAAAAAAAAGAATAAGCAGAAAAGAAACAGAACAATCAGACGTTACGTTGCATAAAGAAAATTTTAATCATATATGTATCCACTTTGAATTTTACATTTGCTTTTTTAGATCCATTTCATCAGTATGACTTAGTAATAATCTATATATCTTATCTGAATATGCTTTGTCTATGTAATTGATGGATTGGAGTTGTCAATATGTGCTGGGTTTAGTACCAGTAGGTTGTTTCTTGCACTCAAGGGGACAATGTCAGAACCAAGAAAAACAGCAAAACCATAGTGGAGCAATAGGTAGTGGGGTAATAAACCAGTAAGGGTCCAAATATGCAACTAAGGACAGGTTAGGAGAGGGACGACGAGATAGACCAAGAGACAAGGTGCCACTTTAGTAGCAAAGAATAGCCTGATTGCATGAAGACAAGGGTCGCAGTTGTGGTGCACGGATAAGCTCAAGTCTCATAACAAAGGCAATGCCAGTATGAGAAAACTGGAGATATCACTCTACCTATGATACTAGATATATCATATATGAGGGATTCATGAACAGAAAGAAAGGGTAGGCACTGTCTTACAGGTCTGTCATTTAAATCCAACTAAGGTAGTGTGCATCTAAATAAGGGGGTACAAAAATAGCTTTCGCATACAAACATGAGGACGAAATATATAATTCTCATATCTTCTTAAGTGTCTCTTAGTTCTGATGATGAGTAAGCATTTTGTACCATTGATTCAGCTTAAGAAAGGTGCTAGTCAACTTCTCCGATTTACTGAAATAAGATTTCATGAACCTACACCTTGATGATAATATCCATCCCAGTGGAAGAAAAGAACAGTTTTATAAAAGAAACCATCAAACTGAAATCTGGTAAGATAAGATATTACAAGTAACTGAAAAAAAGAAGGCAAATCAACAACAAGTTATGTCCGAACAGCAAACAAAATCAAATTAATTTTTTTATATAGGGCAAACAAAATCAAATGAATAGAAGTAAGACAGAAATTATCGTGACAACAAGTTTTACAAATTAATACAACATAGGAAGAAAAAGTCCAACTAACCTATTAGGAAGAAGCTACACACAATGTCTTCTTTCATATCCTGCAGGTTGTGTATATTACATATAGAAGAGGGGTAAGCTCCCAGCTACAATAGAACCCTATATGTTCAGTGAAACATCAAAGACACTCACCCATGAAAATTTTACAAGAGCAATAACAAATTCTTTGAAGTCAGAAACTCAACCACCTCATTCGATCAATTAGTTTGACGGGAAAGAGATAACTCAAAAAACAGTGATCTTGAAAAGAAATTGTTAACATCGCCCATATATACGCAGAATTTCTACCCTATGCTCTAGCCCAAAAAAGGGTCTTTTTATCAACTTATTCAAAGCACTATGAAGCTCAGCCCAAAAGTACATTACGTATTATTAACAAGTCAACAAAACAAAGAAATTAAAAGAAGAAGATAAACATACGTAAAGTTCTAAGTACCAAAAATAGCAAAGATAGTCAATGGATCAGAGAGTAATACATGAATTTAAGGTTCGAAGGTAGCCCTGAGGAGGCCGGAACCAAAATGTGGTTGTTTTTGACTTACAGTTTTTTGGATGGTTGTTACAGTTGTATTGAATGGTATTGCTATCCAAAATAATGTTTGTTTTGATTGTTGTATTGTTAAATTCATTGTTGCATAACAATGAAAAGTTCACCTTTTTAAAATAACCGATTTGGTAAGGTGAGATTGTTCCTATTTTTCTTTTCAATTATATCCTAGCGTATTACTCCACAATTCTATTTTACCCTTTAGCTTTTTTTGCTATTTTAACTCCAAATATCCAACCTATGACCTACTTTATTTTTTTTCCAGGACTTTTGCCGCCAATGTTAAAGGTGTTTTGCTACCTTCTGTTTTATTTTTTCTCCTAATTTACTTTTAACTCAATTCTACTTAGCTGTGCTCCTTTGGGTTGCCTTCTTCTGTCTCGCTCCTTTGTTCTACTTTCTTAAGGGGTTTTGCCTTCTTCTGTTTTGCTTTATAAAATTTTTATTATGCATAATTTGTGATAAATTTAATATTTAAACAATTGAGGGTATTTTAGTAAACTATCAGTTACAGTACAGTACGATACGTTCAAACCAAACAGCAAAATATTATTTAACAATAACAAACAATACAATCTATCCAAACATTGTATTCATAAAACGATACGATACAATACGATACAATACAATACAATTCAATATAAAACGATGGGGAACAATGATCCAAACAGAGTGTTAAGTGACCAAAATGTGTGGGAAAAAAAAGAGTTACCAAAATATATATAGGTTTGGCCAGTTAAGTATAGCGTCTTTTAAAAGACGCTATATTTGAATTTAAAAAAACGGAAAAATATAGCGTCTTTTGTTAAGACGCTATGTATAGCATCTTAACAAAAGACGATATATATATATAAATATAACGTCTTCTTCCCTTCCCCAAAACAGAACCAGAACGCCCCCCCCCCCTCCCCTCCCCCCACCCCCATAGCTCACCCGTCCCACATAAAGTAAAGATTCTCGGTCCCACGTGCTAGCTAAGGAGTTATCTCGGACGTTGTTGGTTATTTCGGCTCAAAATCATAAATTCTTCGACACCTAAAACCTTAAATTGAGTTATTCCGATTTAGTTTTTGATAAAACTTGTATAAAAAATGCATATAAGTTATTTTTTATGTGTTCTATGTTATTTTGTGATTGTTTCGCGATTTAACTAATTTGTTGTTTTTTATCTGGACTATGGTATTAGTGTGTTAAAATAATTTGTAAAATAGAGAAATTGTAATTAGTTGTTAAAAAAAACATTAATTAGTTACTTTTTACTATGGTATATGTAATTTCGTGATTGATTTGTTATTTTTATCCGGTTTAGATTATTAATTTGCTAAAAGACTAGTAAACGAGATAAATTTTTACTTTAGTACCCTGTAATGATATCTTGTGGCCTAATGTAGTGTTTGTATTTGTAATGTAGTGACCTTTTAGCGTAGTAAAATGTAGTGCCCTTTAGTGTAATATCCTTGTAGTTATAGAAATGAATCATTTAAGTATCTCTTATTCCCAAAAATACGTCCAAAACTGATATTCAAACACAAATTATCTCCAATTATAGTCAACAAACGTAAGAACATAAGAATTCAGGATACATTGGTGCTACTGGGCCTCAAATACTGTGTCTGGATTTAAAATGTAATTATTTAATAATTAAATCTTGTATAGTTAATAAAATTAATTATTTAATTTTAGTATAGTAAAAGATAAGTCAATAACAAACAAACAAATATATTAAATAATAAAACTAACATATTAAATAATAAAACTAACATATACAATAATAAACTAACATATTAAATAATAAAACTAACATATTAAATAATAAAACTAAGATATAAAATAATAAACTAACATATTGAATAATAAAACTAACATATAAAATAACAGACCTGTTGTGTGAAGTATCGGAAAAAGATTCTCATCATGAACATAAGAATTCAGGATACATTGGTGCTACTGGGCCTCATATATTGTGTTCGGAACCAAAATGTGAATATTTAATAATTAAATCATGTGTAGTAAAAAATAGGTGAATAACAAACAAACATATAAAATAATAAAACTAACATACTAAAGTAACGTATAAAAAATAAAAGTATAATATTGAAAATGTATCAACCTAATTAACAATATAGTAAAAATATCGAATAAAATGTAATATTCAAGGTATTGCAATATATTTAAGCAGTGGAAAAGAAAAATAATATAATTAATTTTGTTCAATTTACAGTAGTCGTCATGGAGGTTCCGCCTTCGCATCCCTGACCTACCTCCCTAGAGCTACTACTGCTACAGGCTGAGCATAGGTCTTTCCTACATATGGGAGGGGGAGTTATTGGCCAAACTTTACGTTCCAGGAGGATAGACTATTTCTTGGACTTTCTTAGGGAACGCCAGCTCCATCCCCGTGTAGTCAGACTCCTGCAGGATACGGGCTTTTATAGGATCATTGAGATCGGCCGGTTGCAGCTGGATTGTTCGTTGCTCACGGCTTTGATAGAGCGGTGGCGACCAGAGACGCACACATTCCATTTGCCCATTGGCGAGGCCACTATCACGCTGCAGGACGTGGAGGTCCTTTATGGGCTGGCGGTTGATGGACTTGTTGTTGCTTTGCCGCGAGGCATGGGAGATTATACGGGAGCTCCGTACCTGGAGACTTGGCAGCGGCTTAGCGATTTTCGACCAGAGGATAAGGGTTTACTGGTTGGGGCTAGTCGTATTTCGTTGACGCCCATCCGGTAGTATTTGGAGGCCATGCATGATGACATTACTCATGATACACCGGAGCTTCATATTAGATGGTACACGAGGTCGCTGCTGCTGCTTATGTTTGGAGGCGTATTGTTCCCGAACACTTCGGGAAACCTAGTCAGCTTGAGATTTCTTCATCATCTTGAGCTGCTAGATGATTTACCTCAGTACAACTAGGGTGCTGCTGTTCTTGGTTACTTGTACCGACAGATGTGTCGGGCATGTATGGGCACCCAGCAAGACGTTGCAGGATTTATGTCGCTGCTGCAGGTGAAAACATAGACAAATACTCTCTTCATTATAATATACATCATAAAAATACACCTTAAATTTTAGGTCCAAATTGTATATTAGGTTTGGGCCTGGGAGCGATTCTTGCAATTGCAGCCACCTCTACCACCTATAGCTCAGGATGCACCACCTCCACCGTTTCTCCCTTTGGCTAGGAGGTGGGTTGAGGGGCAGGGATACGAACGCGAGTATGAGGCTCGACAAAATCTCCCGTATTGCAGAGATTTGTTAGATTTGCTGGAGGACGCGCAGGTAATTCTATACTTTAGTTTACTTGGCCTGGACTTATATGTGTTGCGTATACTCACGGTTCCTTTTTTTACGTGATAGTTCATTTGGACGCCCTACAGCGACGCGCTTATAGCTAGTTTGCCCGATTATTGCTCGACCGGGCGACTTATGTGGAGATCTTTCATCCCGTTGGTATGTCTCGATATTTTCGAGCATCATGCCACCAAGCGAGTCCTTCGCCGGTTTGGTCGATCGCAGCATGTACCTCCACCGCCCGCTTGGGTTAGGACTCATTACCAACGGGATGATCGTTCGAAGGTTGACCAGACATATAAGGCATGGCTAGAGGCGCAGATCAAGAGTTGGGACCAGTGGCATGACCTGATTCTACCACCCCCTCCAGCTCATCTTATGGATGATGAGCATGCATATATCGGCTGATACTGCAGCATTACCCGACTTATCGTCGGGAATCTCGTTCATCGCGCTGGCGGTCGGTTCGTTAACATTACCGTTTCGCAATTAATATTTTACATGTTGTGCATGTTATTGGACTACATATGTTCCACCAGTTGGGACTGCAGATCAGCAGCATGCCGGCGAGGGAGCGGCCATTTTGCACGACTATAGCAGGCAGGTTATAGATTTGGCTGCCCAGACATTGCAGCGAGCCCGGGATAGTGAGCGCTTAACACACGAGGCTGATTATATGGCGTCAAAGCAGTACCATCAGGGGCCAGCAGTGCAGCTTGAGCGTGGTCGACATGGCAGGGGTGTGCCATGAGGTAGGGCTATCCCACGAGGTAGGGGTGTCCCACGAGGTCGTGGTGATCGGCGAGGAGGTGGTCCCTAGCAAGGCGGCATTGAGGCACCTGTTGAGGATGTTGGAGTTGATCAGCTAGGTGACCACCCTGATCCTAGCGATATCACATCATTTAACCTGAGGCTTAGTCTAGGGACTTCGCAGGTGACCCCGTCAGCTCCATTGTTGATCGCGGGCACGGCCTTTACCTTACAGGACTGGGATGCGTATTTTCCTGACCTTCTAGAGGCATCGACGACTACTGATTCTCGTCCGGACGAGATGTAGATAGTGGGCGCCGACTTAGTTATAGCTCACCACCGAGGGATGCTGAGGATCTTCCACAAGATTTGGTTAGTTTGTATTACTATTACTTATTGGGAAATCTAATTCTAAGTTGTAAAGCAAAATAGACAAAAAAAGATGTGGATGAGAGAAAGAGAGAAAAAGAATACCAATGATATAAAATTCCTGTTACATCTCGCGTTTTTCGTACGTTAAAATTTCGTCTTCAGTTAATTGACATAGACTCGGAGATGAGATTATCTGGAGGTTAGCATATTTATGCTATTTATAACAACTAATAAGTGCCATGAAGGAAAGGGTACACGAATTAAAGAAAATGAGTTTTGTTGAAGGCTGTCAATTTGGGATAAAATATGGGCCGAGCGTTAATACCCGATATTTATGGACTAGTACCATACAAGGTACTATATGACCGTGATAGTAAGATATATAAAGTATATTTAAAATAAGTAAAATTTTAAGTAATTTGAGATAATTCTTAATTATGCGGGTAATTGATTAATTACCGGGTAACGGAATATTACCTAATTAATTAATTGGTTATGGGA